CCCCAAAACCCCAAAACCCCAAAACCCCAAAACCCCAAAACCCCATATTAACGAGCTGATACTGGAACTTTAAATAATAAATCTATTACTTTAATAAAATGGATAGTTTCCAAGACCTTAACTTTGAATATGATGGGCAGTTCCCGCAATGGGACTTCGGCATCAGCCAGGTAAGCAAGAAGGTTTTCAACTATAGAATGAACTCACCAAGTTTGATGAGAAATACGGAACTGTAGAACCTAGTTTTATCTATGATTGTGATAGGAAGATGTTAAATTTGCAGGTGCTAGAAGATGTTGCCATCCCCCAGTTAGATAATTCTACTACCAAAGGTGCCTATTCTTTGAGAAAAAATCCGAAAAGAAAAATGCAGTGTTTTCTCGGTGAATCTTCTCTTAAACTAAGACAAACCTTTGATCCTTCTCTTTTCAGTTCAGAAAGGGGCAGGTACTCGGCAAGGAAGGACATTGTTATGAAGGCAGTCTTAAGAGGGATCAGGAGATTTTATCTGAATATTTTCAGGTCGAGATATCCTCCTTTATTCTTATCAAAGACTGCAAAGGCTCCAGGAGCCCAAGTATCAGAAGCTGTGCAAGAGATGTGAGTCGAGCTGTTCTCAGAAGAAGTCGTCATGAAATATAAACTTCATATTTTCATGCAAACTTTGTTGAACCTAAAGTCTATCACAGACAAGCAAGAGTCAAGCCAGGAATTCAAAAGTGCCAACCAGGTCTTAAAATGCTGAAAAAGTTTTTCCTCGAGAGCTTTCAGCAAAGTTTGCGACGACTCATGATTTCAAAAAATTTGTAGTAAAATTCGTTCAGACTTTGAAGAAGAATTCTTGACTAGCCTCAAAGGCCAAGAACATAGTCATGCAAGATACAGAGAAGTTCTTAATAATTTCTGTGAATAATAAAAATTTACCTTAAACTGTTGATCTCCTTTTCAAACTTCTGGGCCTCTAATAGAGTAAAAAATTAAATTAAATTAAAAATTTGAATTTTTGGTCAAGATTTTGGATCCATGACATGGTAGTCTAAGAACTCTTCAGGATAAGTTTACTCAGAATTGTATAACATAATAATACGCATCCCAATATGTAATAATAGGACCTATAAAAAGCAAAGAAAAACTTTCAATGAGGTTTTAGAATCATCTTAACGTAATGTTCTCGATCTATTAAGTTATTAAGCATGCTCTTCTGACATATTGCTTGCTAGTTTTTTCAATTTCCACCATATTTTCTCCTAACATCTCTTGCCTTTTTATTTGTATAAAATATATAGCAGATGCTTTTAAATCGCGACTTTAATAAAATCTCAGATATCCCACCAAAATTCTTCTCCTAAACCCTTTCTAAACCATCTTACAACCTCGCAACCTCAAAAGCCTAATTTCTCCAACTAAATTCAAAACCCTCCTAAATTCCAACAAAAAATCTTTCTTGACGCTAGGTTATGCAGACTTAGTTTTCAACTACGTCTGTTATTTGGGGTTTTGGGGTTTTGGGGTTTTGGGGTTTTGGGGTTTTGGGG